TGATCCCCTCTTAGATCCCCCTTTAGATCCTCCTTCCAGACTAAGGGCTCTGGAGAGAAATGAAAAACTGGGAAGTGCATTGAAATGCATCGGGTGGTGACCGGTTGGCCACCAAGGGTGGGGCTGCTCCTCCTTTACACCCTTCCAAAAGCGGAAGACCTGGCCCTTCGCCCCTGGTAGGACTCCCGTATGCACTGTCCATCCTTCCGTGGCCTGTCTCTCACCCACCCACCCAAAATCTCTGGGCCTCTCCCCCCCCCCACCTGTTTGCTGGAGGCACGCCGGGTCACTTCCCTCCCGTGGGGCAAAGAGGGCAAGTCCAGGTTGGCGATCCCCTGTCGGGAACCTTGCAGAGCAAACCTGCATGGAAAAGAACGAGCCAGTTGGGCAGGAGACGCCGAAAATCGCCCCCCCCCTTCCCCTCTGAACATATATATGCCACAGGACAACGCGGCGGCCTCGTGGGCCGCTCCGACGGCTGGCAGAGCAAAGCCATGATCCCTCCCACAGAGGCTCTCTTGCCAAAAAGGGAACGTTTGCAGGCCATGAATCTGAGGAATCTGATTTCGTAACGAATTCTGAGGCAGTGAGCCGGGAAAAAAACAAACAAACAAAAAATCCGCCAGAGCAGCTTCTCAAAACCACACGGAGTGGAAAGAATGTTGGTGTTTTTCCACTTCCAGGTGAAAATAAAAGGGCCTCTGCTGAAGAAAGAGGCCTCGGCCAGCGTGGGCCTTCCCCTGCGGCGTCCGTCAAACCTGCGCGGCAGCCCAACCTTCTTCCCTTCCAACCAGACGGCAGCTGGGCACCCTCCCCAGGGAGGATGGGAGTTGTAGTTCAATGCCTCTTCCAAGCTGTGGAAGGCTACTTTAGGCCAAGAGATCCTAGACGTTCAACACACTAGGTGTGCGGAGGAGCGCCTATCATACAGCCATGAGTGGCTCTCACGGTTGGCTGGAGGAAGCGGTCAGCCAGCTGCTGATTTCCTGCCATCACCCGAGGTCCCTCCCCTGGCCGCCATGTGAGCCCCCCCAGCTCCTGCCCCCCTTTCCCATGCCTCCATCCCCCCCCAATCCCCTTTGGGAGCCCTTGGTTCTCACCGGGACAGAGGGAGGAAGTTCATGAGGATCCGGTGCCGAACGAGGTCCCGGTGCAGCTCCTGGAAATGTTTGAACTTCTTCTTCATGGTCCAGGTGAACTCCCCATGGGTCACCCGCAAGGAGTACAGCGTGTTTGGGCGCACCTGCCGAGGACAGAACAGGCTCTGAAATCCTCACGCCATGCGCTCAAGTCCTGCTTGGTCGGCCCGGATAGAACCCCGTCTCCAGGTTCTGGGACAGCTGGGGCGCTGGACGGACCCACCTCTTCAGGTAGGCGTCTAATAATGCTGACTGCGTCCCCCACAAGTCTGCTTTTAAAATTTAAAATGATTTTTAACTAATTAGTGGATTTTAAGTACAGTACAGCACATTTAATGGCCTTTCAAATCTATAATTTATCGTGTTTTTAGTATTCCTTGTTTTATTTATATTTATTTATTTATTGGACTTATATACCGCCCCATAGCGCTACAAGCACTCTCCGGGCGGTTTACAATTGTAATTATAAAGGCTACACATCACAGCACGTTTAATGGCCTTTCAAATCTATAATTTATTGTGTTTTTAGTATTCCTTGTTTTAACACTGCAAGCCACCCCAAAAGGCAGCCCACAGATGTTAGGGTCCCCCTCCCTCCTCCCAACCCTTTTCTCTTTCTGCGTTGCACCTGCTCTGAGTGCGAGGCTGTCCTCTCTCCCACCAACACCCAGGCAGCCCTCAGAAAACCTTGGGATACCACAGAAGAGAATAAGAAGCAGGCGCTTCCAGTCTTGTTTTTATAATAAGAACAATTTCAAAACTAGATATTGGGTTCTTCCTGTCACCATATTTCACTACCTCATTCACCTGCCATGCAGGATTCAAGGGGCATCGTGAAGCGCCAGCCGTGTTACCTTTCACAAACAATTCACATTTGGGCAGGGGGGGGGAGAGGAGGAACCACAGGCGCTACCCGAAGAAGACAGGGAGCTGGCCTGAGGATGACCTTAAATAGTAATAATAAATGTCTGCGGTCAAGTCAATTCTGATTTATGGCGGCCCCTTTTCCAGGGTGTTCAAAGCTAAGGAATGCACAGAAGTGGTTCCCCCTTCCCTTCTTCCTCAGTTGCCCTGGGACTCCTGTGCTGCTTTTGCCCCCAAGGCCACCCAGGCTGGCTCTACTTCGCAGGAGGCACAAGTGGGCAAATCGGGCTCCTAAACTCCCAGAGACCTAAACCACTGGTGGGGTAAAAATATTTTAAACAAACAAACAAACAAATTTCTACTGCCGATTGTTTTTTTTTTTAAGTAATATTGTTTTGACTATTGTTGCAGGTTTTGTTCGTGTTCTGGAGGTTGTTCGCCCGTCTCTGTGGCCATGGGCATCTTCAAAGGACAGGAGTCAGAACTCTGCCTGTGTTCTCGTGTCGTGTGTGTGGGAAAGGAACCTAATATTGTTCCCTTTTCCTTCCCTCTAAAAGGAGCCGATAAGGAGATCATGAACTTCAGGCAACCTGGCTCAGTTCTCAAAGAGCTGGTCGGTTCTCACACACATAGGCTTTTTGGTTCGAACTCACAACTGACTCCTGAGTTTTGACGCAGGCAGCCTGACGTGGGGCCCCTGAAGCCCCAGGAAGCCCGTCCCACCCTGGCCCACCTCCGGTTCCCGGCCTGAGCTGCCTCTTCTCCACCCTGAGGGCCGAGCAAAAGCTCGTGAAGAAGAAAAGGAAGCCAAAGGCTGCTGTCAAAGCAAAGGCCTCGCAGAAGGTCCTTCAGCCCCAAAGACCCTCGTCAGCTGTTGCTGCAGAAACCTCACCGCCCATCGATGGGTGTCAGATGAGAACAAGAGCAGAGAACCTTCCGTGTCCTCGCTTGCGAACAATGTAAATGGTGTCAGGAGGGTTCGGGCTGAAAAAAACCCCACCCATCTTGCGCCAGGGAGCCTGACTAGATGCCTGCCCGTTGAGCTTCCCCGGGGGCTTTTTCCCCACACAAAGTTTTCAGATAAATATTTAGTTTTGCAAGCAGGGGTTGTGTTTCTGCTCTTCTGCAGAGTCTAGTTGGCAAAACAGGTTCCTTGCAAATACATGGTTCAGGTAACTGAACGGATGATGGCATGCTCAGACATTTCCCAAGACGGTCATTACAGAAATCACCCAGACGGTGTAATTGGAAGATGAACCTGTGGCACAGACCACAAAACGAAGCCAAAGAAGAACCATGAAGGAATAGTAAAACAATCATAGTACCAAAGTACAGTTTAAATAATTCTTCTGAAGACTTTTAAAGACCATATAAAGAACAGATTTGCCTCGCTGAAGTCAAGCGACCAAAGTCCAAAAAAAAAAAAAAAAAAAAAAAAAGGACTAAAACAGGAAATATAATCAGGGAGGAGTACTAAAAATTGTTCTAGTAGTAAAAAGAAATAAAAGTCTCTGTGACTAATTTTAAAAAACATTGTTAACAACTTGCACACGGGGACAAAGATGGCTTAGTGTGATAATCACTGCAAAGAAAATAGAAAAGTACAATTAAAAAAAAGAAGAGAAGATGTCTCTTCCATAAAAGGTGCAATAAATTTAACTTTAAGATTAGAGTTGCTGAAAGACCAATGAGGGAATATTTTAACCTTTATCTTTATCATGATCAAATAATGCAAACCAAGAAGAAATATATGAGAAAACTGTAAGAAAGATGGAAGAATCACATGTTCCTTCAAAGAAAAAGCTTTACACAAAGAAACTGCTATTTTCAAAAGTGAAGTGAAAGGTGCTCCCAAAGCATTTGGAAGAAATAAATCACCACAAACAGAAGGGAAACCAATGGGGCTAGTTCAAGTAACAGAGACTGAATCTGTCAGATCTCTGCCAAGAATATAAAAAAATATGGAAAACAAAATAATGGCCCCCAAACTGGAAACATTCCCAATAAAGGAGATGCCAAGGAATGTAATAATTATAGGATCATTGCATTTATTTCCCATGCAAGCAAAGTGAGGCTCAAGGTTTTGCAACAAAGACTTGTACCTCTTATGGAGCAAGAAATGCTTGATGTCCAAACTAGATTCTGAAAGGGAAGCAGAACTAGCAACCATATTGCTAAAAAAACCCACTGGCGGAAGGCATCGAAGAATTTTAGAAGATCACTTTATAAACTACAGCTCTGTGGATCATGAGAAGCTAAGGTCTCTTCTGAAACAGGTGTGCCACAACACTGGAAAAGAACCCTGATGGATATCCTGAACAAGAGACTGCTATTGGGAGAGAATTGGAAGAGAGAGAGTGATTTTTCATTAGCAAAGGTGCCGGCCTAGGGTGTATTGTATCATCTTACCTGTTCCACCGATTTGGCTCAAATGCTGTTGCTTAGCCTGGTAAGTCACAACTACAGTAGGCCCACTAAATCAAGGGAACATACACAGGAGCTGAGACATCAAATCCCCATTGATTCAAACAATCTAGTCTAGCGTGACTTACTAACTAGGCTAAGCAACAGGATTTCAGCCATAGGTGGAATACACTACATATTGAAAACTGGATTAAACACTGATGAAGGAGGAGCGAAAACTGGTAAAAGAAACAAGAATAACGAAAGACATACAGATGACATCCTATTACCGGCAGGAAGGAGCAGCAACCTGAAATGATTTGAAATATCAAAAGTTGGATATTTGGTGCATGCGCTCGTAATCTCAAGATTAGACCACTGTAACACGCTCTATGTGGGGCTGCCTTTGAGGCTGATGCGGAAATTTCAGGGGGCGTAGAATGCGGCGGCGAGACTCCTTACTGGAGTGAGAAAACACCAGCATATTTCTCCTGTTCTGGCCATGCTACATTGGCTTCCCATTTGTTTCCGCATCGACTTCAACGTTTTAATGCTTACTTATAAGGCCCGAAACGGTTTAGGACCTCGATACTTGGAGGAACGCCTACTCCCACCTAGCTCTACCCGGATCACCCGAGCGAGTCAGGAGGTGAGGCTGAGGAGCCTGACGCTGAGAGAGGCCCAGAAGGAGAAGACACGAAATCAGGCCTTCTCGGTGGTGGCTCCTCGCCTCTGGAACAAACTCCCTCCAGAGATTCGCACAGCCCCTACGCTAGGTATCTTTAAAAGCCAACTAAAAACATGGATGTTTGTTCAGGCCTTCCCTCCAGTCAATACTTGATTCTCTCTTCTTATTTCCTCCTTTGTTTATTTTTATTTTATTTTATTGGTTCTTCACATTTTAATTTTAGATCTATGTAATTATGTGTTTTTATCGATTCTCTGTAGTATATTGGAAGCCACTCTGAGTGGTCGGATATAAACAAACAAACAAACAAACAAACAAACAATAAATAAATAAATAAAAAAGTGCATGTGAAGGATTACAACTGAACATTATGAGGCCAAAAATAATAATTGCAGAATTATAAGCCTAATGTTGACAACAAAGAAACTGAAATTATGAAAGATTTCCTGTTCCTTGGCGCAATCATCAATCCAAATGGAGACCGCAGCCAGGAAATCAGAATGAGGCCGAGACTCAGAAAGGCAGCCGGGAAGGAACCGGACAAGATCCGTAGGCTAAGGATGTGCAACCAAGGATCGAGGCCGAGAGCTTTCATGCTTTAGTATTCCCGGTTATACTGTAGGGATTTATCAAAGTTAGACAATGAAGAAATCTGACTTTGGGGGGGAGGGGGAAATCAGTGCCTTCGAAATGCACATTGCAGGAGAGCTTCACAGAATCCATAGCCTGAAAGCTAAGTAAGTGGGTTCCAGAGCAAAGGAAGCCCGAACAGTCTGGGGAAGTGAACACAACACAACACAACTGGGTTGGGTGTGCTTTTAAGGCATTGTGGAAAGACAGGACTCGGAGGAAAAGTTGGTAACGGGGAAGGCAGTAGGAAGTGCGGCGGAAAGAATATGAGACAGGCTGGCTCGAAGAAAGAGCTTTCAGTTTGCAAGAGCTGAGCAGGGCTGTGAACGACAGGGCTTATTTTTTGGGGGGGGTCATTAATCTGCATGGTAGGCGTTAAGTTTGAAAGGACTCAACGGCCTCTCAGAACAAGAAGGCTGTCAGTGAGGCAAGTGATTGAGGCACGTGGATCTCTCAGAGACCACCCATCAGCAGAGGACAGGAGGAGGAAAATCTACCGGCTCGCCTCTGTTCCTGGTGCTAAGCCAAGAACGAAGCAGGCGGCAGCGAAGCAAAAGCCCCCGCCTGCCCCGGCCCGGCCCTCCAAAGGCCTCTGGCTCCCCAGTTCGAGGAACCAAGCCACTGGCATGGGGGGAGGAGCAGCTCCAGCCGGGAGAGCCGTCTCGCTTCGCACCCACAAAGCCGATACCGCTATACGAGTTCCCGAGATGCTTTGGCACAAACTGTGTCACTGTGTGCAGGGGGTGACCGGGGGGGGGAGAGAGACTCCGCTGGAGGCAGCGGGAACGGTGGGCCAGCCAGCACTCAGGCAGAGAAGCCGGAAGGGAAGGCTCCTGCCTGGAGGGTGGGGGTGGGGGCGGCAAATGCCCTTCCGCACCTGTTGCCCAAGACGGAGGCGGGGGCAGGAAGGAAGGGCTGCCCAGGTTCCCCAAAGAGCCCCTTCCTGTTCCTGGCTTGCAGAAGCAGCCTGCGGACGGGACGCCGTCGTGGCCCGACCCCCGTGAACCGCCTTGAGGCTGGGTTTTCCCCGTCTCTGCCAAAGAGAAGACGCTTTGCCTTGAACTCCACAAATTGTCGGACAATATGGTCCAAGTCCGAGAAAAGGGCAGCTTGGAAACCACATCGCAGAGAAGCTTCTGGAGAGGCGGGCAAGCCGAAGGTGGCCGAGCGTACGGGAAAGACAGCCGGGCGGGCGGGCGGGTGGGCGGGCAGGAGCCAAGGGGGGAAGGAGACCACGAATGCGTCCGGACCACAGCTGTTGCGCGAACAATTCCAAAGCACAAGGGAGGATCCTGCAACTTCACTAGAGCTGGGCAGCGAGGAAGGGGCTACGGTGCCACGCAGGGCTGTGGCCCCTCCCTTGAAGGCAGGAGGCGGCAAAAGGCAAGGGTGCCGGTGGAATCCGCACCTCCACTCGTCTGCAGGCAAGGTGAACCTCCGCAGACAAGCAGAGGCTCAGAGAAGACGTGGTCCTGCCACTCGGGAGACCCCGCTGGGCCACGGCGGCTCTCCCGGCCTGGCTGAACTGAAATAACTGACCCTCAGGCCACGGGTTTGCCACGGGGGGGGGCGAACCCTGTCGCGAAACAGGCGGGTCCTGCATCTGTTTCAGTGGAGGTGTGGAACCCTGCACACGCAGGCCTGCCAGCTCTTTCTGCAAAGGGGACTTAACTATGGCCGACCCATTTGTTCCTCAGCCTAAGAAGCAACCCCCCCCCCGTGACCCCTACGCACAGCAGGGGAGGACTTTACAGATGGGAGGGAGGAAAATGTGAGGGAAGGCGACCGGAGTCTCTACGTTTCCGAAGACGGACGCTTCTACGAATCTAGCCGCCTGGAGTGGTCGCAGGACTAGATGGGGGGGGGGATATAAATCAAATAAATAAACGAATGAATAAATCACAGGCAGCCTGGCTTCTCTTCTTGCTTCCACCAAGGCTGCGCGAGAGGGACCGTGGCTTCCAGGCCCCGTCGGCTCTCATCCGGAGGACAAAGAGCCTCCCTTCCCTCCCCTTTCCACAGCTGCCCCCCCCCAGCGGGCAGTTCTAACGGTTTCAGGGGAAGTTCCCTCCCTGCTTTTTCTTCCCCCCAGGCCTGTCTTTCTGCCTCCCCTCCCAGGGCCCGGAGGGAGCAAGACCAGAAGTGGCCGCTCGCTCTGACCGGACCAGTCAGGGCAGGAAATGCTCGTCATTGAACCCGTTCCTTTTTAGATCCAAGCAAACGGGCCCAGAAGGAAGGGCTGAACCCGGGGACCTCCTCTGGAAGAATCCGGGTTTCTGCGGGAAAGAGAGGCCCCACTCCACCCCACCCGAGTGTCCTGCCAACGTCTCCTCTGGCTCTGCTGAATCAGAGGCACAACATGCCAGAAACGCCACTGGGGCTGATCCTGACATGAGCACTGAGGCCAACCCACCGCCCAACCACCAGAAGTAGTCATTCATCATCCTTCGCCTCATTTCGCGCCGAATCCGGGTTTCTGCGGGAAAGAGAGGCCCCACTCCACCCCACCCGAGTGTCCTGCCAACGTCTCCTCTGGCTCTGCTGAATCAGAGGCACAACATGCCAGAAACGCCACTGGGGCTGATCCTGACATGAGCACTGAGGCCAACCCACCGCCCAACCACCAGAAGTAGTCATTCATCATCCTTCGCCTCATTTCGCGCCTCCTGNCCTTGGAGCCGCTGGTGTACCTCTCCGTGGCCTCCACCCGAGCCGTGACGGGCACCCCCTGGAGGAACAGGGGGTCTTGGGAGCGGAGGGGCTTGAGCTCATACACCGCCAGGAAGGGGCGCCGCCGCTCACCTGGTGGGGGGGGAGAAGAAGAGAGACACAGGAGGGGGCAGGAGGACCGTCGGTCACCCTATGGCTCACCCCCACCCTCGCCACCCCCGGGATCTCCCCACGCCCGGATGGACTGACCTGGGGCATCCCCATCCCAGGGGCTGCCGTCCGACTGGTCAGGATCCGCCCCGTACAGCTCTGAGATGTCCAGGGTCTCCTCGCCATCCGGGAGGCGGCTCTCCAGGGTCTGCA